AAGCCAGGATACATTTTCTCATACTTTTCAGACTCATCAGCAGTGCAGCGGAAATCTAATTATAGGTTTGCTGTGGTGATTTCTGTTCTGAAGGGAGTTTAAAATGAGTTACGTAAACAGAACTATGTAAGTCAAGTGTGAAAAAAAGTAAACTAAGGAAATAATGACTAATATGTTGATACGTAGATTCTGATCTGATGTTCAAGTGATATCTAACACAAAAATTGGGTCCAAAAAGTGTTACTGCTCATTCTGAGGAATACTCGCAATGTATTTTGATCTTCTTGGCAAGGCACTGTTCACTCTTTTGGCTGGGTGTGCTGTCTCTGGTCCCGGAGCTGGCTAGTTCAGGCATTGCCAGAGTGGCAAAGCCCTCACGCTGCTGTAGTGGCAGCCTGATAACTAGGCAGCTGGCTACCTGATGGTACTTCATCCTCGGGTTAGGTGCTCCTCAGGTGTGATGCCATCTCTCTGCAAGCCATCCAGGAATCGGCTGCTGGAAGAGGAGGTGACATTCTGTATCCAGCTGGCAGAATTGTTCAGAAGTCAGTGCCCGCTTCTGGCCAGGATGGAGCCTCCTTTTGCTCTGTTCACCCTGCTGGAAACCCCCTCCTGGAGGTAGAGGTCATACCTGGCTTTAGTGACAGAGAAACTGTGCCACTCCAGAATACTGTCTGTGCTACTTGCTTGCCAAAATGCAAAACCCGGGGTTTTCAATTCAGCTTCCAGCTGATTTCCATAGTCACCAAGAAGTATGTACATACACAGAGTTGTTCTCTGCTTTTCTTCTGTGTGAGGTGCATCTAGCTCAGGCGTGCACAGACAACATCTGAGGAATCCCAATTCTGAACTTTCATTTGAATGAAGATCTTGAAAAATTTGTTATTTCTTGAACACCATCTGTGCAGAGGAAGCTTTATGCATCCCAGGCAGCAAAAATGTAGTATATGCATTATCAGGTATTTTGGGGATCCAGTGGCAGCTATACAGTGATTTGAGAGTGTTGGTGATTCCTATGGAGGCATTCCTTTGAGGATGTACTCTGGACTGTTCATATATTTATCAATGAATCACGAAATTCATGAGTATGTTTACTGAGTGTTGTTTAATGAGTGTATGTTTTAATTAATATTCTTAAGTTTCCCCTAAGCTGTCATACATGATGTTTCCTGAAGATTGCAGACCTTTCAATTTACCTGCATTTCAGTGTTGTTTCCACATTGTTCATTTTAGCTATGGCCATTATGAATAATCATCTCAAATTAATGCCATACCCAAGCTGTTTCGGTATGCGTTTATTTAAAAGCTTTAGAGTATTGTTCTTCGTGATAAAATTCTTGGGTCCATCAATTCAATGTGCCTGGGCAGAATAAAATCTTCAGGGAGTTCAGAGCTGGGAAGTAACCTCAGTCAATAGAAGTTCAGCTTTGATTTTCTGTTCCTTTAAAGCCTATTGATTCAACCAGATCTCCCTCTTTGAGAAAAATCCCCCCTGGCATTTTAAGTGGATAACTGCTTTTTAATTCTGTGTTTGTTTCCTAGCTGGGCTCTAGGACCACATTTAATTTTGGAGAAATGCCCCCTCAGCTCTGTTATCTGACTGAATTCTCCTCCCTTTCTAGCTGTCTTCACTAAAAAAGCTAGGGGTGGAAAAGTTTTGCAGATGTTAGGCACAAGACTCGGCAATAACCTCACTGAATGAAAGAGGCAGCCTTTGTTCACAGCTCTTTTCCTGTGCTACCTCCTTTCTGACAGTACTGTTGCGTTTTAATCATCCCTGTTCTAGTCTCAGACTGATGAAACCTTCCAAGAAATCAGTTTTGGGGTACCAGGCTATTATGCTGCTTGAGAAGCCCATAATCTCCCTTTCTGGGGGCTGCATGATGCATTCAGATTAATCAACCAACAGTCTCTGAATAATTCATAGAAAAACTTTATGGAGACCTGATGCTATTCAGAACCACCAGAAAGGTCAATTTGTAGCTCCTTGCTACTGCTAGATATGACATAAAAGAACCGTAAGTCGAAACAGTCTGTAGCATATGTAGAGGAGCAATTCTGTTTCGTTCCTAAGTTCATCAACACTTAAAACGATATGAATGAAATTTCCCGTTATCTGCATCTGGCTGAAGTATCCCAGCCTGCTCCTCACACTTTTCCTGATCTCCAGGAAATACGAAAATACTGACGTTTCTAAGGCAGGCATGTTCGGTATTTTTCAGGAGGGGGTTGTATCTTTAGATGCCCTGTTCTGTCCCCTGATTCTGCCCAATCCATTATATCTGCCTTTGCCCATTCTGTTTTAAAATTTAGAGATTCAGACAATTTATTTTTCCTTCTTGTTTAGTGAAAGATTTTTAAAATGTTTTCTACTCTTTCTGTAAGTCTATTCTTGTCCTGCAAGAGGAGTGAGCATAAACTTCATGGGACACTACTGCCTTTTGCACCCTTATTTTGCTCTTACGTATACATATGCCGTCTCGAGGCTGCAAAGGCTTGTTCATGCTGACCTTTATCATTTTTTGTTTGCTTGTACAGAGTGTTTGTAAGAGTTCATCGTAACTGTTTATAGCAGTCCTAAACTCTCCATTAAATAAAATTTCAACAAGTGACTGTCCTAGTTTCAAGGTTGCTTCTTAGTGGGGAGTCTGAATTCAATTGCCTTTTTCGATATTCTTTATCATTTTTGATACTGTTTTCTCCTGACCATTACATTTTTACTACCTTAGATTAAAACAGAACTGTTTAACATTATATTATTCTTTAAAATGTTCAAACGCATATTAATCAAACTGTCATTACCACACTTGGTATTTCATACCAAATATTAATTTTTTTGTGAGATTGCATGCTTAGCTTTTGCATTCCCTAACAGAGCCATTTCTGGAAAATGGGAATAATATCCAAAACCAATATGTAATTTTATTCCAGCATACACAAACAAATCTATGCCAACCTTGAATCACAGATTTAACTGTTTTGTTTCACAGTTCCTGATATTTTTATGCATTCAATTTATTACCTTTTATTCTGTTTTTGCCCTCGTTTGACCCCTGTGTTACCCTGTTTGACCCTGTTGCCGACTGAGGTTAAACCACGACACTGTGTCATGCAGTGCTCTTGGGTTTTTTGTATTTTTCCATACCTTCATGCTCTTCAGGTATGCACTTCTTTGTTGATTCAGTTTTTACATTTTAGGAATAACCAATTGAGCACTTCAAATAAAATTTCAGCTAAATTCAAGTTCTCATTCAGAGCCGGTGCAGCGATTAGATATCTTGTATAGAGCAGCCAATATAAATAGTTTATTTATTTTTGTATTGTGGCCTCTACAGCAACAGTGCATTAAGGCTGTGTTTGGGAAAGCTTCTTGAGCATGTTTGCATGTACGATGTTGGACTCTGGTACTTGTTCTACCTTTGTTGAAAGCTCTGTACCTGTTGTCTGCTCCTCCTCTTTTCTCTTCTTACATGTTAGTTATAAAAACATACAGTGATTACTGAAACAGTAATTCCATACCCAAGCCGTTTGATGAGGTGGAACACTGTTTCTTAACGGGTCCGTTGTCCCCTGATCCTCACGTCCCATTGGAGCATCCTGATCCCTGTGGTATGCACTCCCGAGGATGTCCTCACCGCATGAAAGACAGAATGATTTTATAACTTCATTTCTTCAGTCTTAAAAATGTGTTTTGTTTTTTTTTTGTTTTTTTTTGTTGTACACACATATACATTGCTTATATTGGAGCTACGGCTTATCTTCTCATCTGCGCATGTCTGATTTGTTGTTCTTGATTGATTTGGGCATCAGAAAGATTAGAGAGTAACTTAGGTTTCTCATAGTCTTTGACTGTGCTCCCTCAGGAGTGAGAGGCTCAGAACACTGTGTCTGTATAGACTTGCCTAAATGGAAGCCCTATATATTTTTAGTGGATTTTTTTTCCTGTTAGTACTAATGCATTTAGATTTTATTTCTCATGCTTGTTTTTTTTAAATAAAAGTCTGTGCCCCCTGAGGGGTGAACTAACATTTTCTAATTTTTATAAGCCTCTTCTCACACTGGTATTGTCTGTAAACACTTGAATCCTTCAGGACCAAAGAATGGAACTCAGTGTCAGTAAACAAATCACGTTTATTGCTTCCTAAGTGTTTACACAATGACAAAAATCAAGCCCCTAGGGAATCATATTGTAAAAAGGAACAGTTGGTTTAAATTAGGTTTCCATGTGAAATATAGCTACTTTTTATGGATGTTGTGGGAACATAAACTGGAAAGAAATTCTGCACACTGATAAAATGAAGGTTTGATTTTTATTTGTTTAAATACAAACAGAATAATGTACTAAGTTAATTTCTGATTCTGGCATTAATTAATCACCGAACAGAAGTTGGTAGTATGGTCACACTTAGGAAGGTGGGGTTTTTTTTCTTTACTTCATTTGTGATCTTGCAGATAGATAATGTGAATTATTTTAAATGTTCAGTGCATATAGGAATTAGCAAATTTGTACATTAAATACAACTACCAGTTTTGTGAAATTAAGCAAAAATAAAAATTCCAATTTATCAATTTTCACTATCCATGTGGTAAGAACAAGGGTTGTTCAGTGTGAGGCTGAGATTTGTAAGCTATGTTAATGAGAATTGACACTGCAGATCTCTCTGGCAGCTTTAGAAATCAGTGTTACCTTAAGCTGTCCATTTTTTTCCGTGGCCTGAATGCATATTCAGAATATCTCATATTAAGATACAGTAGGTTTTTGTTTAATATAAGTATTTCTAGAGTAGTTAATGGTTTAACTGTTGTAACATGAGTATGTCTTGTGTGTAAGGTGTGATTGCAAATCGTACATGATTTGGCTGCAAGTGTATCAGTCAAAATCCTACTTATACCCTCCTGACGGAAGGAAACAAAAAAACCCCACATTATCCATCAAGTATGCATGAACGCTCCAAGTGACATTGCTTTGACTGACTGTGCTGTCCATTTTCTTTTACAAGGTGAGCTTGTGGGTTACCTGGCTGATCCTAACTGCAGGTTCTATGGAGGAGAAACGAGAAGTCTTCTCATATTTAGTACATGTGGCAAAATGCTGCTGGAATATGGGCAACTACAATGCTGTAATGGAATTTCTGGCAGGACTAAGGTACTGGCAACTCTTTTTTTAAATGGCTTTTTAATGGGAGATTACACTGCAGCTTCTGTTAAGCAGATGTCTCTGGAGAACAATGGACTAAACAGAAATCCGTGGCTAAATCACATCATCTCACCCTGTGACTTTCTAGTAATCCCTTTTGGAAAAATGAAGCATGCTAAAAGCCGTTTTTTTCCAAAATGCTCTGGAGACACCGTTGGTTTTCCTGGTACATGCTAACGATGTTACATTAGAAAACATACTTTTTTTTTTTTTTTAAAAACAGAAATTTTTAAAATGTGAAAAGAAGATGGGAAAGCAGTTGTGATTTATCTGTAATCAACTAAAACTAATGTAACTTGGGATTGGAGTTTCCAGAACACAAGTGAAACATAATTGTGGTAGCGTTCTAAAAGGGTCAGTCTTAAATTGTAAAAAGAAAACCAAACCAACACAATACAACAAAAAACCCCAGCAAAACCAACCAAACAGCTAAACCTCTTTTTTTAACGCCTCCAATTTACTTACACTGACTGATGTTGGGATCTCATGCTGTCATGGTCTTATATAGCCAGACCTGCAGTGTCTCCAGGAGAAAGACAGAGTATGGAGTTAAAGACAGTTTGTTGCTAGCTTTCCTACAGAATTGCAGATTCGTACAGAGCCGGGTGAGCAGGAAGGCAGTGCCTTTGCACAGGCAGTTCAGAGAGCAGCAAATTGGACTGAACAGGGAAGAGTTAAGATCAGATTTCCCATCTCTTACCTCTGGCCCTCCTTGTATATCATGTTTGTGTAACAAAGCTTTAAAGTGTTTGTATTGTCGCTCTTTGTGGTTTAATAAGGATTCTCATTGAGCTATTTGTTTACATTTTTGGTGTATAAAACACATTTGAAACACTCATAGACATGGGGAAGTCTTTTTGAGCAGAATGCATGCACAACCTCCAAGCCATGTAAGTCGTAAGGGAAAATGCAAAGCAAATTAAGGGCTTAATTTGATCTCTAATGCATCTG